GCGGGGATGATGGGGGCTGGGGGATGGGATGTCAAGCTGGGGTGGGCTGGTGGTCTGCGGCGGCAGTACACGATGATGGTCAGGCGGTGGTGGTCCACGGTGATGGTCGGCGGCAGCTCTAGGCGGGGTAGGTTGGTGACGGGGTTGTGAGGAGCAGAGGAAGGATGGGGAGACGGTGTCACTGTGACCGGAGATGACATGTCACTGTGGTGGTGGTGTTACCATGACGGTCATGTCATTACGGTGGTGTCACCGATGGCGGTCGTGTCACTCGTGTGGTGTCACTGGAGGCGGTGTCACCGGTGGTGTCATTGGAGGCGGTGTCACTGGTGGTGTCACTGTGGTTGACGCATGGACGGGCGGTAAACCCGCGGAATAGAGTCACTACGATGTTGTCACTATAAAATTGTTTCAGTGGTGTCACTATAACACCGTCACTGTAGCAATGTCACTGTAGCGACATCATTGTACCGCGGTTACTGTAGCGGGGTTACTGTAGCTCCGTTAATTTTACTCATTTTTTTGTAAAATTAAATAAAAGGTCACTTTTTGACAATCATCCACTTATTGATAATATTGAGGTCAAAACCCCTAAAGGATACTTCCTCCGTCCTTAAAATTTTGTCATTTTTCCTTTTTGGGACGTCCCAAAAAACTTTGTCACTTTCCTTTTTAATCAATTATTTTGTGGTTCCTGTTATTTCTCTCTCCTCTGCACAAACCTCAACCATACAGTTTTTACATTATTATTCTCCGTGTCGGTCAACTTTGGCAAAATTTTAAGGGACGGAGATAGTATATGTTACATAGTATTATGTTTAGTTTAATTATACAACATAGGAAAAATATTTGAAGATGTGAGTGTTGCTTCACAATATCTAAAGAGAATGGATAATCAAATAAATACATTTTAATCGAAATTTGATCTCTAATTGGTTCAATATTATATAAAGCTCATTTGAGTTTCATCCAAATGAAATCACTTTGTTCCACCCTCTATACTTAAATAAGAAGTGATTAACTATGATTACCTTCGATTTAAGCAATAATTGTTATACTGCAGGTTAAAGTGAAGTGCACTTAAGTTATTTGCAATTTCATCAAGATACTAATTTTAATTTGGTATGTAATTCATCGGGAGATGTAGTAAAATAATGTTAAGGCAATTGAATCTAACATTTATTTGACAAAATATAATCTTTCATCGGATTATTAAGAGGCCGTTTGGTAACATCTTTTTTTGGCTTATCAGGCTTATCAGCTAACTTTTTCACCAAACACGTAACTTTTACTTTCGCGCGCTGAATTGTGTAATAAGCAGAAAAAGTAAGGTTAGAGTTACTTTTGTGGCTGTATTGGCTGAAGTTACTGTAGATGACCATTTTAGCTATTTTTACATATAATTTTTTCTTTATTTTATTAATAAAATATATTTTAAAAATAATTTTTACTTAAATCAGCAGAAACAGCCAAAGCAGCCACTTCAGCCAGAACTTCATAAATTTCAGCAGAATCAGCCAAAACAGCCGATTTTCGTGCTACCAAACGGGCTCTAAATATCATGTTCCATATTTGTCATGTTTATCATGCTCCATATTTTATCATATTTTAAAGGAAATAATGAGAATAATAGTCTCAATGATTAGTAATCTGCTTCTAATCAGTTCAACTGTCGATTATTCAAGTATATATAACACGTAAAATATATCCATTTCTCGAGTTCTCAACATTTTAATTTTCATCACCTATAAGTCTATAATCAATATGAGTACAAATGAAAGAAAATGTACCTTTAAAGTTATATTTTTCTCAACAACTTTTCACTACCAACTACATTACAGTTATATTTTTATAATAGAATTACAATTATATGATTCATTGAGACCTTAATTGAGTTACTCAAACTTAACTGAGTTACTCAAACGTTGGGGGTAAGTCGCCCAACGGTTGGGCGACTTATAAGTCGCCAAACGGTTTGGCGACTTATAAGTCGCCCAACCGTTGGGCGACTTTCCCTTAAGTAAAAATCGGGTCTCGCCCCAAACAGAACACTTCACAGAAGCCTCCCCCAACACTGAAAGTAGCTGCTGCGACGGACGAAGAAGAAGACGGACGAACCGCCATCTCCAACTACGGCGCTCCTCCATCTCCGGCGACTCCACTCCGGCAACCCTCCATCTTCATCTTCAACACTCTTTACTCCTTATTCTAGGTAAATCCAAATCCATTTCATATAATTTTGCACTTAGGGTTTAGAATGTTAATTTTTTTTTAATTTTGGGATTATGAATTGATTGTGAATGAAGTTGTTGTGAAATGTGAATATGTATGAAATGTTGAAATATGATTTTAAATTGTTTGTAAATTGTAATGTGTATTTTGACATTTGAGCATTTGGGTATAGTTGAATGTACCTAAATTTGGGTATTCAAAGGTAGACATTGAATGTAGATATCAAAATTTGGGTAGTTTGTTATTGAAATGTGAATTGTTTGTGAATTTAGAGTTAATGATATATTACAATTTTGGAAGCAATTTCTATTAAAAATGTGAATGTGTATAAAATGTGTATATTGATGCCTACTCATGAATGTTGGACAATGAGTTGTTATTAGAAGATGGATTTCTCAAGCTTCCCACTCGTGTGTCATTGGGGAGGGAACTATTATGAGAATGGTGGGCAAATATGCCATGAAGGTGGCAGAACGAGCTTTGTCATGATTTCTCGTGGCGCTTGCATGGTCGAGATCCTTCAAAAAATACATGCAGCGACAATGATTCATCCCGGCCGTTCATTGCGGTTGAAAATGAAATTTCCCATGAACGGGGGAAAGTACATGCTTATGCCGCTCATTGATGAGCTAGCTATAACAAATATGTGGGGCATAATTCAGATGGAGGATATGTCGTCGCTGGAGGTATACATTGAGGAATGCTTTGACGCTAATGCTACTCAATCGACATCAAATGCTGGTGTATCTAGGCATGATGTCATTGCAGGGGTGAATGCAGGGAAGCCGTCAAAGGTTCCTGTACTAGACATGGTTATACAGGAGGATGGCATGTATTTGCACAACGGTGCATCATTTGTGGATGGGCAGGGAAGTGATGATGATGCAGACGAGAACATCAATGGTGACGACATGACAGAATCTGATGAAGATGATGGTGATACTGTGACATCAACTGCCCCGTCTAGCCACTTCACTAGAATGTATGATCTCCCTGAAGGTTTTACTGATGCGTGGATGAGTGGATCAGGTGAGAAAAGGTTTACCCCCGATGGTGAGTTTGAGGTCGGTCAACAGTTTGACAACAAAGAACAAGTCATCAATATGGTGAGCTTGTATTCTATCAAACGGAACCAATTCTATCGGGTGATAGAGTCCGACAAACACAAATGGGTGGCACAATGCAAAAGGAAGAAAGAATGTCAATGCCCCTGGAGAATACGCGCCACAAAGAACAAAGGCAACCTTGACACCTTCACAATTGTGCGTTATTCTGAACCTCATTCTGCTTCTTGTGTAGGCAACATCGACACTACAGATCACGTGGCCTTGACATCAGAATTCATCTGTAAAGATGTGGTTGACATTATTCGCACTGATCCTTCTCTTAAAGTGCATACTATCATCGAGATGTTGAAGGAAAAATATGGGTATACGGTATCTTATCGGAGAACATGGATGGGGAAGCAAAAGGCCATAGCACAAATATTTGGCAGTTGGGAAAAGTCATATTTCGAATTGCCCCGTTTCATGACAGCGCTCCAACATTCTAATCCAGGAACTGTTGTTCAGTGGTACCCACCCCCCAATGGTGCGACAGGTTATATGATGTTTCAAAGAGTTTTTTGGGCATTCAAGGCATCAATATCTGGTTTTAAGCATTGTCGACCCGTACTTACTATTGATGGCACACACATGTATGGAAAGTACAAGGGCACATTGCTCGTGGCCATGGGTTGTGATGCGAACAACCAAATTTTCCCAGTCGCCTTTGCAGTTGTTGAATCCGAGAATGGAGACAGTTGGCCATGGTTTATGGCATGTATTAGGCATTTTGTGACTAACAGGGAGTTGTGTGTCATTTCAGATAGACATGGAGGTATTGTTAGGGCAATGAATGAGGTTGGAAGTAATTGGGAGGAGCCTTATGCGCATCATAGGCTATGCATCCGTCATCTTGCTTCAAATGTGCACACTCATTTCAAAGACATTCATTTAAAAAATCTATTTGTGTGGACCGCACGGCAACATCAGAAAAAAAAAATTTGATGGTGGGTTCAAGAAGATAGGTGAAATGAGTAGGGATGCACGAGAATTTTTGGCCAACATTCCTCCAGAAATGTGGTCGCTGCACCATGATGGCGGGTACAGATACGGTACCATCACTTCAAATCTGGCTGAGGTTTTCAATAGCGTCATGAAAAATGCTAGATATTTGCCCATTACCGCCTTGGTCCAGGTGTCTTTTTACCGGGTTAATGCGTACTTTGTGAATAGGCGTGAAACTAGTAAGTTGAGGCTCACACAAGGCCACGAGTACTCCCCATACATCACAGATTTAATTGAAAAAAATAGAGAGAAGGCAAAGCATCACATTGTCACTCCTTTTGATTTAGGGCGAGGTATATTTCAGGTGGAGACCGGTTGTGGTGGCAGAACGTTGGGAAAGGGTGGGAGAAAACAAACTGTCCATCTACAACGGAAAACGTGCACTTGCAAAAAGATGGAGATATACAAGATTCCTTGCTCCCATGTATTAGCCGTGTGTAGACAACGTAGTTTGTCTTATGCTCCATTTGTGGATAAGTTCTTCTCTTCTGACCAATACGCCGCCACGTATCATAGGGTGTTCAAACCGATTCCTGATCGTGATTATTGGCCAAATTACAATGGACCCGAAATCGTGCACGATCCATCCATGCTTCGGGCAAAGGGAAGACCAAAGTCGACCCGTATTAAGAATGAGATGGATGAAGGCCCACGAGGAACGGTTAGATGTGGAAGATGCCACCAAACCGGCCATAATAGAGCGACATGTGCAAAGAGATCATCTAGACAAGAGGGGGGGTCCGCCGGGTATGTGTATATTTAGAGTCAATCATAATTCATTATTTCCTTGCAAGGAAAATTAATAAATTCAAAAAAGGAAGTTAAAAAAAATGTAAAACATTATACAATTACAACTAATACAATTAGAACTAATACAAATTTTGTTTGTAGGCATGGAGGTGATAGCGGATCCTGGGCCGAGTGATCCTTCTGTCCTGACACTGCAGGCCTCACACAGGAGTGAGGATGTTTGGCTTGGCATGGATGTGCAGGTTGATAGGTGCCGCGAGCATCTGCGGGGTTTGTCCCATTTACATGTCGACCCCAGAGTCCTAGCATATGTTCGTGCAGCAGGTTTTTTTACACTGCACAGGTTAGTGGCTACTGTGCCTTTAGATAGAGCCCTCCTCACTGCTCTACTTGAGCGTTGGAGGCAGGAGACACATTCATTTCACCTCCCTGTTGGTGAGGTCACCGTGACATTGGGAGATGTGGCTGTACTGACTGGGTTAGAGGTTGATGGGAGAGCTGTTACAGGCACTGCTTGTCGACAGTGGGTGGATGAGTGTGAGAGGTTGTTAGGCATCCGCCCCGTTCTTAGGGCTGACCTTCAGGGGTCATCTCTTAGGATGCCATGGTTGAGGGAGCACTTCCAGGCCCTCCCTCCCGACGCTGATGAGATGATCATCCAGCAGCATGCTCGGGCGTATATATTGATGATGATGGGAGCCTCCATTTTCGCTGACAAGAGCGGAAATGAGGTTCAGGTGCTACACCTGCCTTTGCTGGAGAGGTTTGATGTAGCAGCACAGTTTAGCTGGGGTAGTGCCACCCTGGCTTATCTCTACAGGCAGCTGTGTCGCGGGTGCCAGAGAGGGAGCACAGAGCTGGGGGGATTTTTGCTACTCCTCCAGATTTGGTCATGGGAGTATATCCACATTGGCCGTCCCATTATAGTTGGATATCATGGCATTGATGGACAGCCACTGCCTGATGAGCCTCCACGTCTGCTAGGACCACATCATGTACGGGGCGTGGACCCTCTAGGCCGTCGGTATGTTTTCAATCGTTTGTATTTGTGTTAGTTTTTGTTGAATGTAAATGCATTAATAAAATCCATATTATTGATATTGTAACATTAATGGTTAGGTGGCTATATGCTGGTTTATCTCGTATGTCATCCGCTACTGGCCTCGGTGTGTACAGGGATGCATTGGATCGGATGTCAGAGGACCAGGTATGGTGTGTGTAGTATAACAGTAACTAGAATAGGTGTAGAATAAATACTAATTTTGTATGTTTACGAAACAGATCACATGGATGCCGTATAGACCTGATATGTTAGCAGAGTTGCCCCCAGCTGGACGAGAGCAGACTCACATATGGCGAGCACGTGTGCCGCTGATATGTTTTGACATTGTTGAGCTTCATTTGCCTGATAGAGTCATGCGACAGTTTGGGTTTGAGCAGGTCATTCCACGTCCTATCGACACTTATGTAGAGCTGCATAAGCTGGATAGGCGTGGGAAGCATACAGAGGATTGGGCACTCAGACATGTCCGATACGTGACTATGTGGGATAGGAGAGCTGAGCTAGCTGTGGCTGGGACACCCACATATGTGCCATCAGTTTCAGGAGATTACATGGGATGGTACTACAGCATCACTCGGTTGTTTGTGTCTCCTTCGTTCAGACTCCCTACTCATCATTATCAGCCTAGCTCATTGGCATTGCATCTTACGGTGAGTATTTTACTAATTAGTAAAGTAAGTCATTTTATTTATGTAATACTTGTATGTATTTGAATGTAATTGTAATTGTGTTTCGTATTGCAGACCCGAGCTTTGCAGCGCATACATCAGCGGGCTACTGCCACTGTGACTGATATTCCTGATGTGGACATGTATGGACAGACTCTGACAGGCATTGCCTCGTTATGCTCAGATGTGTTGGGTCGAGTAGACTACGGACATCTTATACAGATGCCCGCATCTCAGGAGATGGCATCCACGTCTAGTGCAGCCGCGGCTTCATCATCCCAGACGCAACATGAGAGAGTGGTTCTTCAACCACGACAACGCCGTAGGCGTAGACATGAGCAGCAACATCTCCATGACGAAGCTGATGATGGGAACTTGTAGTTTGTCTTTTGTATTGTAGTTTTTCTTATGCAATAGATGTTGTAGGAACAATTTACAAGTTTTGATGTATTTTCTCTTGTTAAGTATTCTATGTTGTATTGATGTGTTCGAGTATGAATATTACATGATTATTTGTTATGGCATATATGATGATTGAACTGTGTTATACCGGTTATGATTTGAAAGTTTTTTAGCGCTGTTTATAAGGTGTTTTTTATGTTGTTGAGAGTAGGTGATTATCATGTGTTGTATCTAGTTTGTAACACTTCAAAAGGAGAAAGGAGACCTTATTTGTAGCAAACAGATCGGTCTGGATTGAACCGGGGCGAAAAACAAGCTGATTTGGTGTTTTAGGTAATAGGCACGATCGTGCCTAAGGAAATAGGCACGATCGTGCGTGGCTGACAGTAGCTGCTCGCTTGAAACCATATTTCAGGGCAAAGTCGCCCAACCGTTGGGCGACTTATAAGTCGCCAAACCGTTTGGCGACTTATAAGTCGCCCAACGGTTGGGCGACTTTGCCCTGACCACGGTTAAGGCCCAGCAGTATTTTGGTAAATACTTTTTTTCCAGCATTATTTCCGTAAATAATTAATTAATTAGCATTAATTGGGAAAAAAACTCCACTTATTGATAATATTGAGGTCAAAACCCCTAAAGGATACTTCCTCCGTCCTTAAAATTTTGTCATTTTTCCTTTTTGGGACGTCCCAAAAAACTTTGTCACTTTCCTTTTTAATCAATTATTTTGTGGTTCCTGTTATTTCTCTCTCCTCTGCACAAACCTCAACCATACAGTTTTTACATTATTATTCTCCGTGTCGGTCAACTTTGGCAAAATTTTAAGGGACGGAGATAGTATATGTTACATAGTATTATGTTTAGTTTAATTATACAGCATAGGAAAAATATTTGAAGATGTGAGTGTTGCTTCACAATATCTAAAGAGAATGGATAATCAAATAAATACATTTTAATCGAAATTTGATCTCTAATTGGTTCAATATTATATAAAGCTCATTTGAGTTTTTCATCCAAATGAAATCACTTTGTTCCACCCTCTATACTTAAATAAGAAGTGATTAACTATGATTACCTTCGATTTAAGCAATAATTGTTATACTGCAGGTTAAAGTGAAGTGCACTTAAGTTATTTGCAATTTCATCAAGATACTAATTTTAATTTGGTATGTAATTCATCGGGAGATGTAGTAAAATAATGTTAAGGCAATTGAATCTAACATTTATTTGACAAAATATAATCTTTCATCGGATTATTAAGAGGCCGTTTGGTAACATCTTTTTTTGGCTTATCAGGCTTATCAGCTAACTTTTTCACCAAACACGTAACTTTTACTTTCGCGCGCTGAATTGTGTAATAAGCAGAAAAAGTAAGGTTAGAGTTACTTTTGTGGCTGTATTGGCTGAAGTTACTGTAGATGACCATTTTAGCTATTTTTACATATAATTTTTTCTTTATTTTATTAATAAAATATATTTTAAAAATAATTTTTACTTAAATCAGCAGAAACAGCCAAAGCAGCCACTTCAGCCCGAACTTCATAAATTTCAGCAGAATCAGCCAAAACAGCCGATTTTCGTGCTACCAAACGGGCTCTAAATATCATGTTCCATATTTGTCATGTTTATCATGCTCCATATTTTATCATATTTTAAAGGAAATAATGAGAATAATAGTCTCAATGATTAGTAATCTGCTTCTAATCAGTTCAACTGTCGATTATTCAAGTATATATAACACGTAAAATATATCCATTTCTCGAGTTCTCAACATTTTAATTTTCATCACCTATAAGTCTATAATCAATATGAGTACAAATGAAAGAAAATGTACCTTTAAAGTTATATTTTTCTCAACAACTTTTCACTACTAACTACATTACAGTTATATTTTTATAATAGAATTACAATTATATGATTCATTGAGACCTTAATTGAGTTACTCAAACTTAACTGAGTTACTCAAACTTGCCAAATTTGATCAACACGAGAAATAATAATGTAAAACATGTGCAATTGAAATTTGTGTAGAAGAGAAAAAAATGACATGAACGATCCAAACACACTATTGCTCTAAATATAACATTTCAGTGAAAAATTGAAATGTCTATGTTAATTTTCTGTTGCATCCAAATGAAATCAGTTGTTAATCATCTTTATCTAAATATTTGATTTCAGCTACCATTTTATTGTAAGAGCAATAATTATACATATTTCCAGCTATTGAAATAAATTAAATTTTATTTGTCTCAAACACAATCTAGTTAAATTGCACATCATGGGTATTTAGTCAATTTCTACCTTGATAAATTTCATTTTATCTCGTGCATGGCACGGGTAAAGGCTCGTATTGCATTACAATTTCAATAAAAGAAAACTAAAAATAATAATAACAATAATTATTGTCGATCCGCTAACAATAATCCTAACTATTTATTATTTGTATAATCACAGTTATATGGCTTGTTCGCCAATAATAGTTCATGACCGGATATATCCTCTTATGGTGTGTCACTTTCTAATAGAAAACTAAGCATATTGATTTTTAACTAATTTTAAAATGAATGAGTATTTTAGGATGATTAGATTTAATAATTTTTTAATATTTGAAAAAGATTTTATTTTTATTTTTTTCACTTTTTTATTTTTAAAAATCTATGAGCCCACCTACATTTCGAAGTGCCAAATATAATCATAATCTATGTGCCCGTTTGGATATTGAGAAAATTTTACATAAATAATTAATGTATAGAACTTTGTTGAATTCTAATTGAACACAACAAAATTTCCATAATTCTTAATCGTATTTTTAAAGTTATCGGAAATAAGTCTTAACATAAGATTTTAAATATTGCTATGCTTGTTTTACAATTGGAATACATGTACATAAAGTTATTTTTAATAGCTTTTTATTACTGCTATACTTTTTTTAGCACTGCTATATATTCCGATTGTCACAAAAACATTTCAAATTCATAATTTTTTATTATCTTTTAACAACACCAATATTCAATATATAAAATTAAAATAAATATCAGCACTTCTAAAAAAATCTATTTTCTAAAATTACTATAACTTTTTTTATTTATACTCCGATTGTTACAGAAAATATATCAAAATTCTTAACTTTTTTATTATTTTTCATATGACATCAACGTTGCATATATACAAAATCTATTAATTTGTGCAATTTATGATCTTTTTTTACCATGCACACGATTAATTGAAGCGATAGCTTGGAATAAAACTACACAAATTCTAACGCAAAGAGTAGAAAAATAAATAAAAGTGATGGGGTTTGTGTAGTTTTATTCTAAGTCATCACTCCTCATTAATTGTGTGCAATGTACAAAACGATCCAAATTACAAAAATTAATAGATTAATAGCATACATACTACTCCGTACTTCTCAACTAATACCTAGGAGATAAATAAGAAACAAATGTGAAGAATATTATAGGAAGTTTTTGAAATTACGTTGTTTAATTCCAATCTAACTCTTCCAATTTTTTAGAAATTTGGAATTACGTACGTAGGATTGCAACTCAAATACTAATGTAACGAAGTATAATTAATTAAGGCTTGCTTAGAAGATGATACATGACAACACTTTCCATAATTGTATCTTTGAAATGTATTATCTATAGATTATCTATAGATATAGATATAGATAATACTTGAGGTGTACTTCGAAAATAAGTTTGAGAAAAGAGTCAAATAGACTCTTCTTATATAGTAAAAACATCACTTAAACTCGTGTACTACAAAAAAGTCAGATAAGCATGTTAACTCTTAAAAAAGGATCAAATCATCCAAATTACCGGAACATCACCCTATTAAACCGGTCATGTTAATTTCTTTTTTCTTTTTCTTTTATTTTTTCTTTACTATTCGTTCACCTCTTGGGTTCTCTTTCCTCCTCTCATTTCTCTCGCTCCCTCTTTTTTTTTTATCGAAGGGGGCTTATATTGATAAAATAGCATTCCGATAAGGAGTAAGATGACAAAAGGACCACATGTAACCATCCGCCCTTGGACGAGACTCTGAGTTAACCACCTTTGACAAAGCAATATAACTCGATAGTCCTAAACTGGGCATAATGAAGCCAGCGACGGTTACCATAGACCTCTCATCCCCTATACCTAATGCAAGAGTTTTACAACAAAGGAAAACATAAAAGCAAAACACAATAGTCTGGTAGTGGAAATAAAAACGCAATGAAATAAAAACAAAAACACCAAAACTCGTTCTCCTGAACTGAACCACCAAGTGAACCACCGGCGGGTCTAGAAGTCCTGACCCGCCGCAATCCTGATTTTTGGAAAAGAGATGTCCATATCCCGCCCCCCTGAAACTTCCCCTGCTGCCGCTTTACCAGCTGCCTTTTTCTTCTTTGCAATGGAACCTTCAATATGAGAGGAAATTTCCACTTCTGGATTCTCTTCATCCACCATCGTTGCTTTACTGCCAGTCGAGGAATAACCCCCATAAATGAATTTTCCTTCGCCGTTCACAAGCCATTTACTCCCTTTTTTCATAGTGCCCCTGCTAGAGACCGCCCGTAACCAAGAACCGAAAGGTTTCTCTCTTCCACTTTTCTCAAATTCAAAATGCCATACACACATACGATATACATGGCTCATAAGACCACATATAAAACAAAAATGTGGTAAACGTTCATATTTGATGTCCGCCCGTATTGGTTCCCTCCCTCGTTTAAGCGTGACTTTTCTTTTTAGAGGCGCATTAACGTCGAGGGAAACCCGAATACGGAGGTACTCCTTCCACTCCGGTTCAAAGTTTTTCCTATCGGCT